CGATACCCTTAAATCGTGCATTGATCTTGCATTCTAATCATTACACTAGATAATCGTGCATTCTTTACGCTAATTATTTGTTGCATTTCTTCAAAACTTATACACTAAATTGTAACCAAACCTACCGATATTTTTCTTGTATGTGTTTGGCAGGTTTGTGTGTCGTTTACCTTCTCAATATCGATTAGTTCTATGTTATTATTGGCTTGCAAGTCTGTTTCGCCGTGTGTGTCAGTTGTAGTCCCTAAGGGTCTAACTTTTGGTAGAGGGGTGGCCTCCTCAAGCGCTTGACTAAGAGCGCAAAGCATCGTGGACATCATTGAAAATCCCAGAATGATTGCTACTGCCATGAGTAGGTATTCAGTGACTCCAACGTTTGTGTCCTCGAATGGCAAAAAATCACCCAGTCCTATGGTGCTAAACGTTATAAAGCAGAAGTAAAAACTCTCCAAGTATGTCCATTCTCTTCGCCTAAAGAAGGCCACCAAGGAAATAAGTAGAAGAGCAAGGATGTTAAGAAATATGGCAACTAACGCACTTTCAGCAGCTTTCAAATGTTGCGATTTACTTCTCGGCCATTTCTTTTTCACTGCGCTGATAATCTTCTTGATGACGTCGCTGATGTTCGTGCCCACTAATTTGAAAACCACGCAGGTCAGCGGTATCCCAAATAGCGCATACACAATGCAGAAAATCCTTCCCCAAGCTGTCATGGGAACAATGTGTCCGTAACCTGTAGAAAGCGAGACGCAGTTTAAACGTACTGGCAGTACACCGTCTAAATGAACAGATGGTTCATACTGTTTTATATAATAATTAAACGAATGCGTGGGCTCTGATTGGTCTATCAGCTATGGTTTGTTGTGCCAGTAAACTCATGGAAATTTCGTGTGTCTTCTGAATTATTATATAAAAGCAATAGACCACAAGTTTTTATGGTTTATAGGCTGTTAAACCACTTGGGATGCTGGAAGAACACTCGAAGAATTCGTAAATCACTTGCCTGCGGCTTGTGATTTACGAATTCTTCTCGGGTTCTTCCAACATCCCGCGTGGTATCAGCCTATAAACCATAAAAACTTGTGGTCCTTTGCTTAAATATAATCACACTATAATTAGTAAGACAATAACTGAAATCTCTATGTAATATACTGAAGAAAGCAGTTTTTGCCATTTTTATTTTGAAATCATGCCAAATATAGCTGACAGGAGCTATTAATTGTGTCATCCAATATAGTTGCTACTACAGAGAGATAACAAGAATAATCAGTAAAATGGACAGCTTTACTGAAGACTGATATCTTTATACCATAGAACCTATCTAACAAGCACTAAATAATTGAATAGATTGATGAAATATCAATTATCCTCCCAGGCGCGCGGTGGCGGAGTGAATTGCGTAACTTGGGATCTCGGTAAAGGAACCATTTACAGTGAACACGCAATGACTAGGCAGATGTAAATATAAAAGGAAAGACATTTTATAACACATGCTGAAGCGCAAACCGGGCCATAGGCTTCCAAATAATTGGAGTGTTTTAAATGCTTCCACTCAACGAAAATGCTTCCCATTCAACAAAAAATTCCGCTTTGAATTTCCGGAAGTTTTTCATAACTAATGGAAGAGCATTTTCTCGTTCGAAAATTTCGAGGATTTGTAGAACGGATTACAGAGTGGGAGAATTTACTCGGGCTAAATGTAGTGTTTTCCTTCAGTTTAATCCTGCGCTAATAAAATGCCCAGCAAGGTGCTTTTGAAAGTGAATTATTCAGTTCAAGAGATCCACTCACAAATGCCCTTTATTTGTCTCAGTATGTGAAAAGTAGAATCTGCAATGTATTCCTGTAATGATTGGAATGAAATGCCCTACAGACCATTAACTTATCTCCCAGAATTCGGAGACATAATGCAAGCCTGAAACTTCTGAATGAAACTGTACTAACCATTAACTTGATCATGAATAGCATAGTAATATAATATATTTATTTATTTTCAGTTATACTCACCAACAGAAGTTACAATTGTCCCAGCAAAAACAAACGCATTTCCAAAGCTCCATGTTTCAATATTTTTCGTAGCATAAGGACGTTGGAATATCTCCTTTAATGATATTACAGCCTCATTTGATATATTGTATTTCCTTTGCAGCGAGGCAATCTCGTCTTTTAGACGAGTCTTTTCTCTTTGTTCGTTTTTCTTCTCAAGAGCTTGGAAAATAAATGCTCCAATCAATAAGTAACAGACTAAAAGTAAGCTTTCCAGCACGAGTTTAGCGTTATTGCCAAAATTCATTTTGTGACTTCCTTTAACAAGGTAAAATACGTGCTGAAATGACGAAGTCATTAATTAGAACCAGTTCATTGGTATCTTCATTACATTAATTATTCACGAACTGCAAACGCTAAATAAAACACCAGCTACCTTAAACAAAAGTAATCTGTCATCACTACTGTCGAACTACGTACTTCAAATCTTTCGGTTAAACGAGTAAAAAATTTGCACGAACACGGTAGTTCATGGTTAGTGTATAAACATATTTTTATTTTAATGACTGGAACCTACAATAAGAGGTTCTTTCTTATTACTTGGAAAATCTTCAAACTCTAGTTTTATGTTATTTTCAAACAGTGTCCGCGAGGATAGATGAGCGAAACACCTGCTGGTTTTATGATACGTATTCACCTAACCCAGTCGGTATATCACGATCAATCTAATTTTTAGAAAGAGCTACTTTTAGGGGCATTTACCAGCCTTACCCATGCAGCTATGGCACTCAAAAATTCTCTAACTGACTAAAATTCTGAATCGAAGAATTTTATATTTCATTAGTGTAAAACTTTGAAATTAAATTAAGCTTTATTATATGGTATGCAACAAGCCCTTGCATTTCTAATTCCAGGTTTTAACGTTTTGTTTTCGTTAAGATTCCTAGTGATTTCATTTCAGTTGTTGTAAATTCAGTTGGATATAAAACAATCAGGCAACTCGTAGGCTCGATTACCAGCCGCTGTTCGGGAAAAGAGCCCGCGCTCCTCCCCCGAATTCACGGCTGGACTCGTGGACTTGGCATTGTTAATTTCAACCAATAAGAAATCTGCCTGACTGAATCGAGCAGGCTGCATAAATTAGCTTTCTCGCAGTAGCAAAGGAGTTGTGCAATATGAAGTGCGATTGCATTAGTGGGATATTTAACCAAATACCGTCAACTGATGAAATCGTGCCTGATCTACGCGTCCAGCCGTCTCTTCTCGGGGAGGAACGTAGACCGGACTCGAGAAAGCGGCAGAAATCGAGCCTAGCAACTCGAAGCCTTCAACAGGCTTGATGCACCTCCCTATATCGTAAAATGTCGTCATGTTAATTGTCGTGTTGTACCTCAGTCATTAGACGTATTCCATCATGAACAACAAATTAGATATCAGTCTGTTTTTATTTCCGTTTAACTCTGTCAACTCCAAAACAAATTAACTAAAATCGCGTTATATTGAAGAACATCAAGACAAGTTTCTTAGTGCTCTCTATTCCCAACTTCAACTCGTAACAATGTAATGTTCTAGAACTAAACAGGTCTCGATAAATTAGTTAAACAGACCATGTTCAAACGGATAACTTCAAAGTATGATTACCTGACTGCTTCAATTTTGTTCATAAAGAAGTTCGTCTTCCTGTTGTTAAGACGAAGGTCGTTCACTTTCAGATTCATCAAGACTTCAGAAGAATTCGAAACACTATATCGGAAATTATTTTCGTGGGTTGAAACGGAAAATTTATCCACGAGTACTCAATATAAGCTTAATAAACTTTGTTATACATGTATCCATTTCTCCAAGCCTCTATTTTTCGGATTTATATTCTTTATCTACTTTTCTTCAAACAAATTAAGTAGTCAACGTTACTTAAAGGTATTTTTTAGCCATTCTCGACTATTAAATTACTCTTCAATCCCTTNTTATCTACTTTTCTTCAAACAAATTAAGTAGTCAACGTTACTTAAAGGTATTTTTTAGCCATTCTCGACTATTAAATTACTCTTCAATCCCTTATTTCAGTTTCTAGGCGTTTCATACTTGTTGCTAATAATTTCCGCGAACTTTGTCGTCCTGGAGTTTTCATATTTGCTGTAACTCGAGATCATCTGATCTAGTCTTGCAGCACAAAGTTTCTCGAAATTCAGCCTTGAAAGATGGATTCATGCCAGTATATATGAACGGATTGATAGTGCTTGAAAAGAACAGCAAAAATGTGCAAAGCAGTTGGACATTGCGCGGTACAACAGCATCAGACGTGAAACGCTGCATGACGGCAATAATCCAAAATGGAATCCAACACAGTCCAAACGCCAAAACGACAATGGCGAGTGATTTGGTAATGTTGATCTCCCTTGCTGTTATTCGACTGTTCTGGTCCTCAGTTTGGCTTGTTGAAGCCATGTTTTGGTTGTGCTGTTTTATCGTCTTGAACACCTTGTAGTAGGAAACTGTTGCAACTCCCAAGGGAAGGAGAAAGAAGAAAGACACGACGATGCTATAATGAGTTATCTTCATGGTTTCTGTGGGATGCACAATGGTGCAGACAGCATATCCAGGGATGAACCCGTATTCAGTCCAACCAGCCAACTTGGGAATGGAAACGTATCCCGCGACGGTTAGCCAAATAGCTGCCACGTACATTTTTGACCGAATTGGTGTAAAGATGCGCGAGTAGTCTTGTGCGGACTTGACAATACGAACGTATCTGTTATAGGCGGTCAGTCCCATTGTGGTTGGAGAAACGTACACGGAAAACAGGGTGAAGAACGCATGAAAATTGCATAGCGCTTCCCCGTATGGCCATCGTCCAGTGATGAGGACGCCTACGGCTAACGACATCACTATGGATGCGTTGAGTATATCACTGGCAGCCAAGGCAATCAGATAGAGGTTTGTGGATGTGCGAAGTCTTGAGTTTCTGTAAACGGCGATACAAGTTAAGCTATTTCCAACCAAACACGTTGATGCCATTAACATTAGGATTGCGGGTTCGAGAACATTCAGAGCAAGGTTTCTGTGTTCTAATTCTGAGGACATTGCTTCGTGTGAAATGTTTTTTCCCCCTAAAAATCTTCCTTAGGTCGACCAGCTTTGAATGCTATATAAAGACACTGGATTAAGGTTTACAACCATGCGAAAGTGCGAGGACGCATGTAACCCTGGTATTTCAATTCGGATGTATTAACATCGTTCTAAACGTAGTTCGAGAGTGGAAATTATAACATAGGAAGCATAAATTAAATGCAATTATTCTCATTTAGGGCAGACATCTGTTTGGAAACATCGTTATTGTTATTTAAATGTCTAAAAATTCCTTGTTTCTCCAGCTAATAGTTATCTAGCCTGCGAACGCAGACGTATTTTGTTCGTAAGCTAATAGCTCTCTGGTTAACACATTTTAAAATGACAATAGTTGACGTCACTGATATTTTTACCCAAGGTTACCCAACGTAATTTTACCCGAGAACATAGGGTTTTACAGGCAGTCTAGCTGATTTATGCTTTTTTCGTCAGAAATCTTGAAAATCCCCTGTAGCAGTTAGTTATTTCTTCACTGATCAGCAAAGTGTTATCATTAAACCGAAATTCATATCCGTTACCATTCTTTTGTTAGCAGTCATGTTCTGTTCTGTGTAATTTTTATTGTTTACTCTGAAAGTGATGCAAAGGAGAGCATGAATACGGTTCACATAAAACAAACGGTGTAGTTAAGGCTACTCTCTTCTGCCTTCGCTAAAATTTTCCGCAGTAAAACAACCGGTGCTTTTCTTAGATTCGAAAACTGTCAATCGAAGCTCAAACTCATTTACATTAGCAACCATCTGTCACATCATCTTCCCTTTTAAAATGGGTCGAGAGGAATACTTAATCTAACTTTGCTTACGAACTAGAAATCGAGAGATCATGACATCAGAGGAAAAATGTAAATCGAACTCTAGAGGACTGATAGGTTGATGTTTTGGCTACATAGTTCAGTGGCAGTACGTGCTAAGAATTTATGTCTTAACTTTATTATGTCTTCCTCTTACTCTGACGTCCTTGTTTTGTTTTTTTTTCCACAATTCTCTCACATTTTCATTTATTTCAGGGATCCCGACATTTCTATCAAATTTTCTCTCCGTCCCTCTTCTCACTAGCCGTTCAGTCTGTTCTTAGTCGTAACTCCTCAGTGTCCGAAAACAGACGGACCCCGCACACAACCACTTTCTGATCAGGAGTGGATAAGTTGTTACGGATATTTCTGTGTCGTGATAAAATTCAAGACTGATCTATTTTTAAGAAATGGACAACAACTTTTAGCCTAAAACAAGACATGTTTCGATCGTTCAACGATCATCTTCAGTTGTGAATTCGTTTTACAAGTTCGGTTGAATTAAAACAAGCAATGGCGTATAAGTAAAACGTGATACAATTCAAAATTTCGAAAAAATTAACGTACAATTTTAAGGAGCGCGAGACATGTAAGACTGATCTGCATTTAGGGCCGAAAGTATGTCTCGAGAAGGCAGCAATGAGGTAATTCTTTTTACTTTTTCTCCGAATTTTATCACTCAGTACACTTAATGCTACGCTTACGAGTATCAAACTCAACAGAACGAGATGTTCAATGATTACCATTCCGATTCAGTTATTTAGAATCCAGCATGTGCAGCTTGTGTTTGCAATATTTTCAATGAGCCAAACTGCAGCAATCAGGAATAAATTACAACATGTTTATTTTTATATTTCATGCGGGTCCCCAATTATTGTCCGATTGGAATTCGGAGAACCCGGAAAAAACCCTTGGAGCTTAGGGTAAATGACAGTAACTAATAGAGAAACCAAGACGGGCAGTAAAATGCAGTACAGTTGCCAATTGGAGAACGTCCATTTTGTCTAAGTTTACTGTACGGCCCCGCAAATGACCCCGGCCCGCAAAATGATCTCCGGCGGTACCGCAAATGATCCCCAAATTGTACCGCAAATGATCCCGGGACCGGAACTGATCCCAACGCAAAAMGTTAGGAATGGCGTGGACTGCATGAAAAGTCTATGGATGGATACATATTTTCTTAATTATCCTAGGTGAAGAAAAGACAAGTACCTCAGGCATAAAAGCAGCAATAAAAAAAGTTTCCCGTACTGCGGAAAATACTAAATTGACATGTGTCGACTGCATAAATTTTTCGTTTAGGAAACGCACTGCAAAAAGAAACTTGAATCTTCGAAGATGCCTCTGCCATCTGATTAACCGCTTAGAACTTTTCCCTGTACATTTCTAATATCTGCGTCCTAGATAGTCACAGGCTCCCACGAAAGTCGAGATTTTTTCGTGCTAGTTACCGTAGTAAATATGTAGTCAATCCACTTGGGAATTCTCAGTTGTCTCCAAATTTGAGGATATAGTGAACATCCTGCGTGTGTTATCATACATCTCAGGCCCGGACTCAATAAAGTCATTCAGGGAAGGATCCAGCTAAACTACAAACTTCAAACACAGAATTTCGTAACGTTGGATATCATTTTTAAAGTTGTGAAATTTGCATTCAAATCGTTCATACTGCACATTAGTCTCCTTCGCAGCCGTTTTTGGGATGTCACGCAACGCAGGAGACTAACTGCACATTTTCTTGCGTTTCATATAGTAACTGTTGTATCAAAATACTGTATTATTTCTGTGAAACTCAGAAAACCGTGAATACCAGACATAGTTAAGGATTATTATTGTGCAGCTAGGAAAAAGCTAATTAAGCGTGAGAAAACGAAACCGCAAACACCAGCGGTAATTGGCCACGTTCGATATATCAATGTTCTAACATGGCTCCGAGGCTTTCAGGACAAAATTCTATGTTTGGTGGTGTTTTCTTTGTATCCAAGTCTCTTTTGGGAATTGAAAGACAAAGGAAGCTTAAAAAAATTTCAATTTTGACCCGAAAGCCTCGGATCGATGTTAGAATATTGATATATCGAACGTGGCCTATTGGTTGTGGTTTTGAGGTTTTCTCGCGTGTCCTGAACTTTATAGTGATTGGTTCCGTACCAAATTAGGCTTTTGAAATCAAATCCAAATGTTCACGGTTTTCTGAGTTTCACAGTCATAAAAAAGCGATTGCATAAATTTCAAACCCACTGTCCAAATTCCTGAGTCCTCACATTTTCAAATTTTATGGCGAGGCGACCATTTCCGGTCCGGGATCATTTATGGTACAATCTGGGGATCATTTCCGGTCCTGGGATCATTTGCGGTACAATTTGGGGATCATTTGTGGGCCGGGATCATTTGCGGGGCCGTACATTACTCCTTGCTCGACTTAGGTGTATTTTACAACAACCATTTTTGCTTAGTTTGTTCAACTGAAGGTCCTTTCTGTTCATCGCTCAAGGAGTCACGATTGTTACACATTTTTTACCAATTCTGCTTAGAAGTGTGGCTGTTTTGATCATCAGGAGTAGGAAATATTGACTTATTCATCATTTAAGAAACGCGCATAGAGCGAGTGCGCTACCTATTGCTAATCACATTGAAATCGATTTTGATTGGCATCAGTAGTTGATTGTCATAAAAAAGGCGTAACCTTTTCATTAAGCATAAAAATCTCGAAACCTAAGCCAGCTCATCAGTTCATGAAGACAAGTCCAAGAGATAACAACTATGAATTCCCAAATTCATAAGGAATTTCCTTAAAACTGGTATTGGGACCATTGGATGTTCGATTGTCTGGAGTTTGAGGTGAGACTGTGGAGGCTGGAACCTTTTCATTAAACATAAAAATCTCGGAACCTATCCTAGCTTACCAGTTCATAAAGACGAGTCCAAGAGATGACGACTATGAAATTCATAAGAAATTTCCTTAAAATTAGTATTGGAACCATTAGATGTCCGATTGTCTTGAGTTTGAGGGACGATTTTGGAGGCTCGATCACACTGATTCAAAGGTCCTTGGCCTTTTATTCTAACCGTAGGAAGCTAATTCAAGGCTACCTCGCGGCTTTCGCTGGAAGGGTCACTGATATGTTTAATTTGGATAAGTTTATCTCCGTGATCACTCTCCAGAAACTGATTTTTCATCTTATCGAAACGTTTTTCTATAAATCTCAGAATAGGGAACTCGATTGTACAAGCGGCACATGCTATCGCGGTAACACGAAGCTGTGGAAAACTTGTCCATTTCAACTTTTTTTTTTGGGTTTGTTTTAATTTCAGATTGTCAAGTTAATGTTGCTACTCGTCCCTTTTAACGTCAGGTTTTCTATGGACAGTTTTAACAGGGGATTTCGTTGATATTTCCCTTTTTGAGATAAAGCGCAGCAGGCAAATCAGTTTTGCTCCCATCAAAATCAGTAGTATTTCAAAACAGGTGTTTGTCCCTTGTGTGATCAATGACCCAAGATCACCCGGATCATGGTGCATCAAAGGAACCGATGAATCCTTGTTCAGAGCTGGATACATCGGCTCTTAGATCCTTTGATGCGAGCGTGTTTAAAACACGAAATGGGAAAATGACGAAATGTGACTAAGGCTAGCCTAAGTAAAGCAAAATAGCGTTCCGATTAGACAGACTAGCGTTCAGGTTAGCCAAAATATCACTGACTTGAAGGTGGTAAGCTTTCAATAATTTTATGGGTTAACCGTCGTGTTTCAAATACGCCTCTTTGATGAATCATAATGAGAGTGATCTTGGATCATAAATCTTGATTCGGATCATGTCAAAGAAACACACCCATAGCTCAGGATAAGAATTTTTTTATGTTCAACCCTTGGAGGCTGTAGTTTAATTTGAAACTCTTGACCGAGGCCGAAAATTGAAAGTTTGAATGAAGAGTTTAGTAATTACGAGGCGATCTGCTGCTTCTATACACAGAAGTCTTATTTAAACGTGACTAACTCTTAAAAGCATTAACGCCCATTTTATCAAACCTTTTGTTTTTGTTTTTCCCAAATCAGTTGTTGTCTTTCATCTCTCACGGTTGAACCGATAATTAGTCACACCTGTTTCAATTTTTTTTTAGCAATTATGGTTTGAAATGTTGCTATTGAAAGGTCACTGGTACCTTCTGATGGGTTTGGCCCAGTTGGGATCAATCTCCCTGAATAGCTATGTAGATGATCCTCTTTCCCTACTGGGTCTCAATATAGTGCAATCGTGGAACAAGCAAAACATTATGTTATGAAGCTGAAAGCTGAATTGTCTTGTTTTGCCCTTGTTATACGGTATTGAAATCCTTCAATTTGTGACATATGCAAGTGGTTTCGGAATCTTTAATAATCCTTTTTTATGGTGGGACAATGCAACACTATATGTTGCAAATTGCCCCCAGAATAAAAGAGGTGCATTAGGCATCTTTTTCCGAGTATTTCGCAAGACCAAACATTCATCGAAATAGTTTTAAAGATTTGTGATCTCTACCTCAAGTGATTTTAATTACGCTTAGCACATTTTGGCAATGCCCTTGTTCATCAAAAAAACTGGCTATGGTGATTTTCCTCAATTTTACTAAATTATAGCTGGAAATGTCCAATTTCTTTGGGGTACATGCTGCTTCTCATGCTGTGTTTTGCAACACGAAAGTTATTTGCCTAGATATGCTTATTTGGTCTATTTGCTCACATTAAAATTTGTGGTGATTTTCCACCTTTTAAAAACTTTTTGTCCCTAGTTTCATAAGTTTCGTTGCAGAGTAAAAAGCCTTTTCATTCGAGTTTCTGCAACATGTGGTTTAGATTTGCATAACCAGAACGATAGCGTAAACCTCTAGCGCTAGCTTGAACAACAATTGCAGGTGATAGTCAACTAAATTAAAAGGAAGGAAAAATAACTCAGGGTTATAGTGAAGATATCATTACCCTAGAATGGAAAAAAAATCCCATTTAACGTTTTTTTTATCCTCTGAATAATAGCCTCAAGGTTATTTTGTTGGAATTTTTTTCTGTAAAAGTAGCCAAAAGGTCTGGTAGTTAAAGTATGATTAAAACAAAGTGAGCAATCACGAGCAATATGTCTGAAGTAATTCTTCACTCTGCTTTGAACAAGCCATGGCGCAAGGCCATAGCTAGTGTCGAACAACTCTTACGCATCTATTGCACTCTTGCACATGCGTTAGACATGGAGGAATTCTTCCAAAAATTAGCCAGAAATCGAGAAACAAGCGAACGGATTGAGGATATTCGACTTAATAAAACGCGCTGGGGTTTTGGCTGGTTTAGCGACCACGAGCTAGGGGAATAAGAAACTTGGGAAGAAATGGACCAACGAAGAAACGTAGGAAGAGTTTGAATTAGTTAATGAAAGAAAACTTTTGCCAGACGACGACCCTAAGGTAAATACTTTTTCAAGGTTAACGTAGTCGTTCTAAATTACCCGAGAAAAATCACCTTCCTGAACATTAGTTTTCCTTTTTTACTCTGGTATCGCACAAATTAACTCCAGGTATTTTTTTTATATTCCTCTCTATCAGGAAAGGTTGATATTTCGATCTTGCATGAGGAAAATTACTTGTACGCCATGAACAAGTGTTTCCTTCTTTTCTTGTTACTGTCTTGTGGAAAGGATGAGGCTTTCGCTATACAAGGTAAGCTACAGTTTGAGTAAACAAATGGGCATTTTGAATCAGTTTATACTGTGAGATTGCAAGTAGGTAGTTAAGTTTTGGAGTGTTATCAGGAAGGCATGTGTACGGCAGAGGGCGAGTAATACATAATATGACTACATGATGTGACAAAAGCATCTATCTAAAACACGAATCAGCTTCCTAAGAAAACTGTAACTCGGTAAATGTATAATATAACTTTACATCTTAAGTTTTCTTTTCTCTTTACCTCCAGTAAACCTGGATATATAAATAGCACATGAGAAAATTTCATGCAAACCTCTGCGTGCTCACAATGGCTTTAAACAAGAGCTATTCATGTGTTGTAGCGCTATTAATTCTCGATTAACTGACTCATTGAACTGCGTCACTTGGAATATCAGACAGCCGTAAATCTTGACCATATGATCTGCCCGCAGTCAACCCCTAAGATTTAAAATTTCCTGAAAGATTTTCGACAGGACATGCATTTTTACGTACTACGGAGGATTTCTTAAAGTAACACTAAATTGACGCCTAAGTGTCCTAAGTCGTCTTATAGTTTAGTATGTTCTTGTATTGTAACTTGAAATCTCATCTACAATTCCAATGAAACAGGCATCCAATTTATCGCCGTCAAAATCACCAATCACGACGCCTCCTTTCGCCCACAACTCCTAAGTAGCTGTAGGTCACCTGCGGATTTTCTATTAAGATAGAAATCTTGTAGAAGTTACCCAGAAGTGCCAATGCAAAAATATCTTATTTACACAAAACACGGTGGATTAAGCAACGCTATTTCCTGTTTCATAGCGGGGTTGGCGAGAATCAGTTTTCATCTGATTGTTGTAAAACCGAAACCAAAGGAATTGCTTTTGCCATTTGCAAGCCATAGACAGTACAGTGAACCAATCCAAATTCGCAGTAAGTACATCTAGCCGGCACGGAGTATGGGAGAACGTTTGGGACCGACTCACGATTAATTTATGATTTTATTTCGGACTGGATGATAAAGTGGCGCGAGATTTTTAAACTAATCTCTAGACGTAGTAGTAAGTGCGAATTAGTTTCACTCAAGTGAAAATCCCTCTGATTAATAGGACGTATACCCGGGGGGGGGGGTGCTCCCTAATATGTGCCATATAGGTATGTGCGGCCCCAAAGCGTAGGGTTTTTCAGCCGTTTTGGTCATAAAATAGGGTATCGCTTTTGGCCATTTTGGTTATAAATAGGGTATGGTTTTAGCACTCTAGTCTTGAATTGGGTATGTTTCTTAAGAGAAGCTACCTTTTCATCTTTATCGATAAAACCGTCAACAAAAGCCCTTCATAACTTATGTTTGGGGCAACTGTGTCAGCCGCAACGGTCATAAATAGGCTATCGAATTTTTAGACAGGTCATAAATAGGGTAGCAAAAAACGCAGATGTTGGTCATAAATAGGGTAAGGGTTTTGGGAAGTGGGCCGCACACCGCCACCCAACTTTTCTGGAAGTACCCCCCCCCTCCCGAGGACGTATACAAGACGCGTCTCTTCTACCACACACATGCACACGAAGGAAGATTTGCGAGCCGTGAAAAACCTTAAACGGCACGAGATGAAAGAAAGCCGTCAGATGTGTATCTACTTCTGGTTTTGTTAATTTGAAAGTCCCGGAACTAAATATTTAAATATGAGGCTGGAAAAATACGATTAACAAGATCAAGGCCAATCAAAATAAGCCATTTTAGAGTACCTATAGTTTTGAATGGTAGCGACCTGTTCTTTCAAGTTTTGCTTCACGTTGTTTTCCATATGCATTTGTCGATGTAGATCAGCAGAAGGTAAACCTTATACGCTTTTGTTCAACAGAATGTGGTTCAGTTGTAAACAATACACTGACAAGTCCTGGATATCCAAACAGTTACCCACCCAATATGGATTGTAATTACTCGATTCCTATTCCACCCGGTATGATGATGGAAATTAACTTCCACGAGTTTAACCTGGAGTTCAGCTTACCGGAATGTATGTAAGTAGCATAACTTATTAATATAAAGACCCGTCTACACGTATCCAGATTTTTTTGAAAACGGAGTATTGTGCTCAACTAGCCACACGAGATGTTTTCTGCCTAAAGAATCAATGGGGACACACGAAAAGTCTCTTATTGGCTTACCCTCGGGGCAACTGCGATATACAAGTTGTTGATAAGTTGCGCAACAAACGTGAAATGTTCGCCTTTTGAAGCGAAAAAAAAAACTAAAAAAACTAAAAACAGGGACTTTGAAATATGGAAGGAGTGCTTTTCTCTTCACAGCTGGACGGATTATTTGAAGGTTACTAATGAGAACAACAAGAACTTTGGTGTGTATTGTGGCCAATGGACCGAGAAAGTAATTCTTGTAACTGGAGACCTCGTTTTGATAATATTTCACTCAAACGTCTTTTATAACCATTATGAGGAAAAAGAATTCCTAATTTCTTTCACTGCCATTCCACCTGGTAAGTGTTTAGAGAATACAGGTTATTATGCCGTGCGTGTACTTTCTTGTGTAACCAAAAAAGATGTTTCGATTGTATGAATATTCCGCATCGATGGAATCGAACGGGGAGTTATTAGAGGAGTTATGGCAATGTATTTCATTGATCTCAAATGGTTCTTTAATTAAATTGGCTTTTAAAGAAAACCCAGTTACGTAATTACCAACTATTTGTCTGATGCATTCCTATGTAAAGAATTTATGTTCCATTAGCTGGTGCGCCTCCCCTTGATTACCTTTCGACCTACTCATTCATATCTACATTCATAGTAAGTTGAGAGAATACAGGTTCGTTTCTTTTGAAAAGATAGTGTATAAACATGTGACGATCACTACTAAACACAGCAAATGACATATCACAAGGATAAGTGCTTTCTGAGCACCCTCCCATCTTACAGGGCAAAACTTAAGTTCTGCAACTTTAATCTCCTTCACTAATAACTAACGTAGAAGTTCCCACAAAGGAATTAGTATATGATTAGTACAGGTAATCGTATGAGTGCGAGTGCAATTAAGGATCCACACTACGAGTGCTGTTTGAAAATTCTCTCAAAATTGCATGAGCTTTTATGCGAGTGTAATTTGAAAGAATTTTCAAATATCACTAGTGGTTTAAATCCTTAATTAGTAGTTTAAATCCTTAATTTATTATATGAGTGAGAAATTAACGAACGTGCCCCCGTTAATTTGCACTACAGTGCAAATTTAAGATTAATGATAAATTGGCCTGCTCTCAGCTAAACACAATGAAGTAATTTTCTCGGTCATGTAATGACAGGAATACTTAGCCAAAGCACAACAAGAAAGCAACAACACATACATCGTTCAAACAAAGACTAACTGAAGTGAGATGTTTAATCCCGCGTAGCTATTAGTATATTAATCTTATCTGAACCCTTTTTTCTCTGGAATAGAAAATTTCACTATTTCGGAATGTGGATCAGTGGTAAACAATTCACTGACAAGTCCTGGATATCCAAACAGCTATCCACGAAACATGGATTGTAATTACACAGTTCGTATTCCACGCGGTATGGCGATGAACATTCAATTTCATGATTTTGACTTGGAGATTGAGCATAAATTTCCTTTGTGCGAGCTGTAAGTACATCAATTTTATATTCTTTAATGAAAAATCATGCTTTTTATACTAGTTTAGTACACTGTAAAAATAACGAAAATCTAAAAAAGCAAGTCATTCTAGAACTTATTCAAGATGTCAAGCTGTTCAGTTGCGCGATGTAATCTTGAACATTAAGTTCCGAAAGCACTTATAAAGGAGGATAAGTAATTCCTAGATTTGCTTAGCTCCAAGGACGTCAAGTTAATCTTTTCAGTTAGGCTGGTGCGTTGCTTTCGTAAGATACAACGACGTCCATGTAGGTGAACCTTATTTGATTGGCGTTGACAAATGTGTTGGACAAATTGAAAATCAGAAATGTACAAAGAATAATCTTGGTTATCAAGGACAATGTAGTAGCTTAAATTAATAATGGCGGGCTCAGAAGACTGAGAGACGCTAAAGATGTCTTTTACACTTCACCATAGTTTATAGAGGGACGTGGTTAGGAAATCTGGCAAGGTTCTTTGTTGTATGATTTTGTTGGTTATTTTGGGGGTTGACCCTGTACAAAACCTGACATAATACAAAAGGTAGTTATGTGCGCTCATACAACTAAACAATATAAAAGCATTGCGATTATGTAATTCATGTATAGTCAATGAGCACAAAACAAAAGATGTGCAGGGTCGAGGACCTTCCAACATAAATCATAGCCTTTCTGTTTGCTTCTTTGATGTTTACCGGCCCTCCTAATCATCATTCTCTCTATTATCTATGACTTCACTTACGAGTTGTTTTGCTATTACTTTTCATTAACGATTGTGTTCCAGGATCCGAGGCAAAGTTCCAATTTCCGTGCCAAAGTGACATCAATAATGGTGTTCGGAGACATGTTACTTGGGTGGGGCAGGGCTAAATTGATGTTTTTTCTCAATTAAACCTTGTTTGTTGTAGGCGAGACTTTTTAAGGATTACAAATGAGAAGAGCGAGATTTTTGCTGTGTTCTGTGGTCCGATACCTAGGCCCGGAGATGAGGTTCTTGTAACAGGAGAATATGGAGTAATAACATTCCATTCAGACTACAGTCTTCAAAGGAGAGGATTTCACATATCTTTAGCTTTTATTCCCCTTGGTATGTACAGAAGAATGTTGTTTGATAGTTAATCCACTCCCTCATGTTTGGAATCAACAAGGCATCAATCCCTTTTAAGCCGAAGTATCAACCAGAAAATTCTCCTAAACTGCGCAAACTGTGCATAGTCTATGAGCATAGAACAAAAAATGTGCAGGGTCGTGGACATTCGTACATAAATCTTGGCCTGTTTGTATGCTTCTTTGATGTTTACCGGATTCCTTAACCATTTCCCACTGTTAACTATGTTTTCTTCTTCGAACATGGCTTCAGAGAAATGTTAACGAAGTTGTATCAGTCGAAATAACCAGTGCAGCTCTTTGTGTTTTGTAGATGAAGGCACACATATGTAATAGAGCATTCAAAATACACCTTAAATTTTTCGGACGTTTTATTAAGCCACAAAAGTAGGAGTAAGAAGAACTCTAGAGAGAGAACAAGAGAAAAGTAGCCGAGGTGCACAAATTTATTGATTTATACCATTACTGTACAGGATTTATTACGCTAAAAGAAGCCTTGTCCACTTACGGTACGCTTTATGTGTGCAAGGCATGACGTAAATATGAGTTAAACTAAATACAGTTATTATTCTATCAGTTGCACCCAAGGTCATGTTATCAACTTCTGTTATACGAGCAGCACCAACCTTCAGACTGTCAATTCCTGTCACTGGGACTCCTCCCATATACACAGCACTCATGAGGAACTCTACAGTGCTGTTCAATACAACAAACACTGCGAGTATCTACTTAGAGAAGGAAGAAAGCTACTCTTGTGTGGCCAGCAGCGAGTACGGAATTGACGTGAGGGATTTCTCAGTCATTTTCACAGGTAAGACTTTTTATCATAAAAACGGCTCCAAAACCTGTTTTTGTTGTGATTTCCAAAGATTGGTAAACATTGATGTATATAGTATATATCTATAGTTTAGACCTCCTCGCCATTTTTCTTTGACTTGTACATTATAATTTGCGGCCTTTTCTAGCACATAACATAAGCATAAGGATCATACAGTGTACGCAGACGGTGTGAGTTGTCGACAACTAACCACGCGTTTTGTTTTGTAACAAAAGGTCGGGAAAAGGTGCGTTCTCGACCCTAGTCCTTCGCTTTCTTGACTAAGCAAGACACGAGGCTTTGGGGAACTCTGAGCGAACGTAGCCGAATTTTGGCTTTGTTGGCCACACAGCGCATGCTTTGTTCAAAACCAAATCAGTGCTGCTGGACTTAACATGTGTTGTTCAATCTCTTTCGTCTGCATTATGAATTGATGGTGGCACAAGCGCAAACACAAGCGCAAACACAAGCGCAAACACAAGCGCAAACACAAGCGCAAGCACAAGCGCAAGCACAAGCGCAAGCACAAGCGCAAGCACAAGCGCAAGCACAAGCGCAAGCACAAGCGCAAGCACAAGCGCAAACACAAGCGCAAGCACAAGCGCAAACACAAGCGCAAACACAATATTTCTTATTTTACCGTGAAAACGGCCTTGATACAGGCGTAAGCACAAGCGCAAGCACAAGCACGAGGATCAAACTTTTTCCGTTTTCTTGTGCTTGCGCTTATGCTTGTGTTTGCGCTGCAACAAGTGAAAACGAAATGCCGCTCAGGCACAACACACAACAATATTTACCACACGTGGTTATGTTTGGCCAATGAAAACACTGGATTCAGATTACTTCGCGCCTAAACAGTTTTCCAAAATGGCGGAAGGTTCGGATGATTTTGCTTGTGCTTGTGTTTGCGTCGAATTTCGTTTTCACTTGGTTCATCCCTATTGCTCGCGTTTGTGTTTGTACTTGTACTTGCGTCGCTAGCGAAAACCAGGCTTTAACAGGACCTTGCTGCGTTTGCGCATGTTGGTTATGCTTATGCGCGAGTCGTGGAGCAGAAAGAAGTACAAAAAATGGAAGCTTGATGTTACGATTTGCGGTTGCTTCTTAGACTGTGGACCGAACTGTGCAGCTGATCAATGGCAGCCTACTGGAAACACTTATTCATGCAAGAACTTAAAATCACTCATGGACATCAGTGAATGCGTTCCAACAATTGCTGAAAGGATGTAAGATTTTTGACAGGTTATTGTTTCAATTATGAATACTTTTCATCACGTATTCGCAAAATGAAAATTGATAGTCTTATTACAGCGGCGCCACTCTCCTTCTCCAACATTGCGTACTCGATTGCTCGTTTCAATGTCTCCAAACGTCCACTTTTGTTAAGTGATTTTAATGTGACGGTTCGATTGAGCTGTCTGGCTTAGGCCCCGTCCACGCTACACCGGAGGAATTTGAAAACGGAGCTTTCACTCTGAAAACGCATTAATTGTTTTCCGTCCACAGTACACCGGAGGAATTTGAAAACGGAGCTTTCACTCTGAAAACGCATTAATTGTTTTCCATCCACATTACGCCAGAGGAATTTGAAAACGGAGGTTTCACTCTGAAAAAGCATCAAATGTTACGTTTTCTGTCCACACTACACCAGAGGAATTTGAAAATGCAACGATCACCGGTCATTTTACATTTGTGTTTGAGTAAAACTCTAGCCGAGGAAAGTCACGATTATCGTGACGTCATCGTTCACGAAAAGCTTCCATTTCAAAATGTTTTCCGTCCAAGCTGAAAACGCAAAGCCGGCGTTTTCAAATTCCGCCGGCTTGTAGAGCGTTTTCGAAAAGCTCCATTTTCGTGACGGTTTAGTGGCCTGACTGAAGAAATAAAGCTCCGTTTTCAAATTACAATGGCGTAGTGTGGACGAAGCCTTCACATTGTTACAAAATATTTCAAAGATTGCAATACAAACAAGATAAAAAGAGCGCTTCAAATCAATTTGAGAGTGGATAAAAAGAGGAATATATGTGCGAATCTGCACCGTTATGTACTTTAGCTAACAATTCTCATTTTTCTGTCTCTTTTTTAGAATACTGTCGTCAAGCAACTTTTCAATATCTTCACTGGGATTATTTTCTAACCTCACAACTTTAACTTGGTTGTAAGTTCCTGTCTACATGTATTTAAGCTTGTCTCTCTGTCTATCTGTTCTTTTTTTTTTTTTAATCGAGTGTGGACGGACATCACCGAAGCAAACGTATTTGTGTGACGTTCCTCTCACTGGATTGCCCTTTTCTTCAACAGGGATTTGCCTTCAAACAATATCGGATCTCTATCTGACGAAGTCTTTCCTACAATTCATCATGTGAGGACACTGTAAGTGAAGGAACCGAAACAGTGCCAGGGGTGGACCCAGAGTAGTTCAAGTGATTTCCAGAAATCACTGAAATGTTTCCAAACTTCTCAGAATGCAGGAAAATTGCATTCTGAGGAAAATGCGGGAAAATTGCATTCTGAGATCACTAAATTTCAATTTTCTTGGGGAACATGCCCCCAACGCTCCTAGTTAAGTTGGTGCAAATCAATCATGTGAAATCACGGATCCACCCCTGAGTGCATTGACGTATTTGCATTGTATTCATATGCCAACTACAATTGCTAAAGAATTGCCGCAAGGATCATTTATAATGATATAAAACGGATGGTCGAAAAATAATTTCTGTCGGTATTTCTTGAAGCTCATCTACAACGGTTTCTCATGGTCGTAGCAGTAACCTGCAATTGTAGGAATCTAGGTCCAAACTTATCCTAATGTGAACCTGGAGGTACAACATGTAGAGTGATCAACGCCAGAGTCTTTCAACAGAAATGAGACTGAGGTTGGCACTCAGATCTGACTTCAATTTATAGATTGCAAAATACGTGCACGAGTTATAAGCATGATCGTGCGCGAGAGTCCCGAGTTCAGCTCCTCGACCACGCTAGCGCTTTGTAAATAACTAAATTGTCGGCCTGGCCTGCTACTAGGTGGCATTCTTACTGCGCCTTTCAATAACATGCTGACTCTAAAATCCAAAGCTCAACCGACAAATGCGTTTTTCGCTGCCGAGTACTGTTTCGTTGTCTGAACTGTGCTCAACGATTTGATTACCGCGCGCTCGGCAGTAGTCGGAGGCTGGGAGGAGCCGCCGAACATTTGTCGGTTGAGCCTTGAATTTTAGAGTCCGCATGTTATTGAAAGGCGCAGTAACATGATCTTGTTGTATTTGCAGTGTCTGTCGATTTATTTACGGTGTGCGTCCTTAACATACTAGTTCTGAATACATTGTCACTTAAAGTCATTTCTAATAACCTTATTAGGTCGTAAGTGTTTCGGCTAAATCTACGAAGCTTGAATCATTAAGTTAGCTTAGAAGAAAGTTTGCCTTATTTTCTCGTTTCACTCACAGGGATTTGTCTTCAAACGGGATCTCTCTTTTACCCGATGGAATATTTGCCAAGCTGATAAATTTACAGTCCCTGTAAGTGAAACGTCGTACAGAGCGAAACATTAGTGTAGTTATGGCTTTGGCCGTCTGGTACAGTATGTCAATACATGACAATTCATTCTTCCGTAGAATTCAATAATGAAATTTAAATCAAGTCCTCTGCATTGATCGTTTGACTCAATTCGCTACTTAGAAACGAGAAGAAATCTTGCTGATTTGGGGCGAGTTTTATCTGCCAGTCTTTTTTGGGAGCATTTCTAGTTACTATGTAGCTTTTCATGCTTTTCTTTGTCCCCCAGTAACGGCCCCACAAGGGATAACAAGAAGAGGTTCGTTACAGATTTCTCCTCGTTTCCTTAAGTTGCAATTGAACGATTCCTTTTCACAGGTGTCTGAAGTCAAACACAATTACATTTCTATCTGACGGAGTATTTGCCAACCTGAAAAATCTACAGCACCTGTAAGTGAAACGCAGTTATTTGTACCGCGCTCGATCAGGGGAGAAAGGCAAACAAAGCGTCTGAGGCAAAGAATATTTCGTGAATAGAATTGATGCGTGAAAGGCAGAGTCCATCAACCTAAATCATTGATTGTTGCGTTTTTGAATGCTACTAACAGGGATTTGTCCAAAAATGCGATATCATCTCTGCCTGACGGAGTTTTGGCTAATCTCACAAGTCTACAGCACCTGTAAGTTTATCATAACACATTCGCCACACTATGAAACGTCATTGCAATCAATTGTTTGCAGCACGTATTGTCACAAAGAGCGAGAAACTAATTCCACTACTTTACTTTAAAAATAGATATGAATTGCTAATTTCGTTATTGTTTGATTTTTTGACAGAGATTTGTCTTCAAACGCTATTTCAATCCTACCTGAGCGATTCTTTGCCAAGCTTACAAATTTGGAAATCTTGTACGTGAAATATAGCAGTTTAATATTCCGTTCACTGCCCTTAATCAATACTCGTCCAGAAACAAGAACTTTTTGGGTCCTGGAAAACCTGGAAATTCCTGGAATTTATCAGTTTTTGTTTTGGCATTTTCCAGGACTGGAAATCCTGGAATGAGGTTACTGGTCCTGGAAACGTCTGAAAATCTGTTAGACTTAATAAAAAGAAATGTATGGCAGTAAGGAGAATTAACATTGAGATCTTGGGAGCATTTTAAATTCCTGGAAAAGTCAATCTGAATCATGGAAATTTTAAAAGAACTTCCAACCCGCTTCGAAGAACTTAGCGTATTTGCTTTTTCAAAAAACATAAAACACTATTTCCTGACCAATACGCGAATTAGTTAATTATGTCCTTTTTTGTTCTTTAAAGGTCAAATCAACCAAAATTAAGACACTGTTTTCATTTGAGTTCAATGTGTTCATTAAGCATAAAATAAACATATTCTGAAGTTTCAAACGAATTAGATGAAGCATTGCGTTGATATTGGAATGTTAAAATCACTGTTTTTTATCCGTCATAATCGTAGAGCGGTTCGGAAAATTTTCAGATAATTGTCGGAAATAACGCTTGTGACGTCACTGTTGGTGAGCTCAAGAAATGCGGGAAATTTGAAACTGTTTTGGTTTCAAGTTCACTGTGAACTTCAGAGGAAAACCACTCAAAATCAAAAGTTAGCACTTTCAAGTTCCCCCAGGACCCAAAACTTAACAGAGAATGGTTTATAAAAATGAATTGAGAATCCTTCATGCCCTCGAAGCATTTCCGCGTTTGTGTAAAAACGCTTTACCGAAAACAGCTTCGAACAAAATCTTGTAGTAATGAGTTTGTTAGGACCCTCTTTCAAGCTTTGTCAACTTGCAGTCAAGAAAGACGCGGTACCGACGATTTCACTATGGAACGTTGCAAGCCGGCAATTGGACAAAAACAACTACAAACAAGCAAATAATGCCAGCCGAATAGAACAGCGGGCGAACTCAGTAAAATAAAATAAGGAAGTGAAATAAGGTTTGTATTTAGATCCAAAACCTTCCCCACGAAAGACTCACTGACGCAGAAACGCAGCAATGTTCAAGACAACAATGACGTCACAAAGCAGTCTCAGTTCCATTCCTCTATTAAAGTGCGCGGTCATTTTGGAAACGTTTCCGTGAAGCAATCGGCTGTCCTCGTACTTTTAACTTTTTTACTCCTTTTCACGGCTCAGAAAGAAAAATTTCATAAGTTTCCTTTTAAATGTTTTTTTTTTAACATTTGGTCGCTACAAAATGGCTGAAGAAAAGATGTCTAAATTTTGGTTCATTTGACCTTTAAACTGCAAATTCTTCCTTCATCTCTCCTGCCCTGCAATTAGACATAACTAGGCTGAAGGCTAACTCGAAAGCCTAGCGATTCATTTAGCCTCCAGTCTAATTTCAAACAAAATTATAACAATTACCTCATCTGAAACATACAACCTAAATTAAAAAAATTTAATAATATTCCTGTTTACATTGAGAAAAATAAAGATATTGCTGTCTATGAACTATATAATGAAGACATTTCATAGTTTGTGCTTTATCTAAGGCCTCTAGAAAGAAGGAGGGAAAAGCTTATAAAAAGAAGTCTGCAAAGGTCCACTTATTTGATACATTTGATTTCTTGTTGTCTCAGTCACGACACAATGCTTTTTTGCAGGGATCTGTATTCAAACGCCATTGCATCTCTACCTGTTGGATTCGGAGCTAATTTGTCGAGTCTCCGTGTCTTGTAAGTGAAATGTAGCGCAAACAGTTACACTGTAAGTTCAGGGTAGCTAATGATTGTGCTGCATCTCTATGAAATCATGAAATGTAAATTTCACCCGTATTTACCTTTAGGGTAGGGTAGGGTTAAGCACAAAACGTCACACACATTGCAGTCAATGTCAGTCATGACACTTACAGTACCTATTAGAAAATGTGCTAATAACTGGAGAAGTCCATGTGCTGTGTTGGCAAGAGACTTCAATCACACAATGCCTCTCTTCCTGCTGGTGTATGTACTAGCGAGTGTGCAACCCTTTCGAGTGGTATTCCGTGGAATACCCCACGAGTCACTTGTATTTTCTCGTCATACAGGGTTAAGTAGGCGAGTGTGTATACCAAGAAGATACAAGCGACAAGTGGAATATCACGAGAAAGTGTTGCACAACTATTTTTATAACATGCTATAGAAGATACACTGGCCAACAGCGCGCGATGGGAAGGCTGGGTGTAGTACTGTCAAGGATACAACGGCTTTCCTGTATTCTGATTGGTTGTATTTTGTGTGGCATGCAATAAAAATGGGTATCGACGTATTTAATAACAAAGAATAAATTAAAAGTATATCAAACGCCTCAGCAGTTGAATGTAATTTTATTGAGAAATGTAATTTCCGTACATTTTTCTGGTTTTGTTAAATGTATGGTACTTTTTCACAGGGATTTGTCTTCAAACGCTATTGCACTTTTACCTCCTGGAATATTGGACAATCTGACAAATTTACAGGACTTGTAAGTGAAACATTGTGCGTTATTGCTTAGGAAATAAATATTGAAGCTACACTTCCTTTGTGATATGGTACGTCAACACAACAAGTATGTAGTTAAGTCGTCGTTTGACTCAGTGAATGTTGTCTTTTACAGGACTTTGTCTTCAAATGCAATTGCATTTCTACCTGAAGGAATATTCGCCAACTTGAAAAATCTGGACTCCCTGTAAGTGATTAGAAGCTTAGCATTGGTACTCAGTTACTCGTGAAAAATAGAAGCTATTCCACTTAATTTTTCATTTGCCTCAATGAATGGTATCTTTTTACAGGGCTTTGTCTTCAAACCCAATTACATTTCTACCTGAAGGAGTATTCGCTAACTTGAAAAATCTGGACTCCCTGTAAGTGAAGCCTAGGCCACCATTGCACGATATAATATAGCTAAACATTAATGCCGGCTGTTTTTTTTATACCATGTTATTTCAACACAAGACAACATTTAGTGGAATTTAATCATCAAAAGTAAAAGCAAATCAACTGCACTTTTGACTCAATGAATGGAACTTTTTCATAGGTTTCTGTACTCAAACGCAATTACATCTCTACCTGATGGAGTATTTGCCAACCTGAAGAATCTCCGAACCCTGTAAGTGAAACTCGGTGATCTGTTATTTGTAAAGCGAAAAACGTTGGAATGTTACTAAAAGTTGTTGAAGAGCTGAGGCATACTCGATTCTTGGACGCCACTTTCGTTTGTTCCAGAGACTCTCAAAAGTAGGCTTTAGTTGTAAACTTGTTTACGCTTTCCTTGCGGCCTTGGCTCACTTAATCAGACTGAAGGTTAATTCCTTGAAATTAGTTTTACCTAGTTTTGATTGGCTAGACCTTATTTGCTCTACTTTGTCAGCTGGGTATGTGTAGGTTCACATCCGAGTACCTAGTTTTATATACCTGCAGCTGGTTGTCTCTGGCGAGAATCTCAGGCGAGAATCTCAGGCGTGCGTTCAGTTAGCACATAAGCTTGTGCATTAAACCCTTATAAGTTAGTTCCTCCCAGGTAATGTACAACTTCGTTTGAACTCAGTTAGAACAAGCAGATTTAAGTTATTGCATGTATGACTAATTATTACTTAACTAAACTCTCAACAGGGCTTTGTCTGCCACTGCTATATCATTTCTACCTGACGGATGTTTCGCCAATCTCGGAATTCTAAGGAATCTGTAAGTAAAACGTCACACACCCACCGCATCACTGTAATCATTTGTCCATAGCATGTGCTATAGCAGGGATTTAGGTTTGGAGTCAGTCATTGCAACACCTAAAACATCACGTCAATACGTAAACTGGACTGAAAAAGCTGCAGAGTGTTGACGGACTTTTCGAACTTTTCGTTCTAATCTGTACTTTGCATTCTGACAGTGAAACATAAAAACATTTTAAAAAGACTGAATTACGGTTTGAATGTATTAAATTTAACCTTGCTCTGAGGTTAAAAGAACGAAATTGACGAATTTTTCTTTAGGTCTCGTGTTAAATTCAGATTATACAAGAGAAAGATAACTTTAAAATTAAAAAATAAGTTTGTCCAGTTAACCTTACGATCGATTCAGTGAATTGTGATATAAGTTAGCGGCTTACTAGGTATTTTATATTTGGTACCCAGTGAAGCCCATCCACCTTTATCAAGCATAAAATCTGTTTCCGTTTACGCCACCAACAGCAATATTAAAGAAAATGTTTACGTTTCACACGTTTATGACGTCATAACGTTAATGTAATTAACTTTAACGGTAATGTGAATTTTAGCATTTGTCATGCGACGCCTTATGCATTGAAACGTTCTTTAATTATTGACCTTGTCATGTCAAAACGTGCAAGCTGTTGGAAGCTACTGGTAGTACTAAACGTTCCAAATATGGTTGTGACTCAAACATTAAGGGGCCTAGCAGCTTATCTTTAGAACGTCAAACATCTATTAGTTAGGACAAACTGTTTATAAACCTCTGGGCGTTGGTTGATGAAGTGGAAAATACTGAGATCATCTGAATTTCAGCGCAATATTTTGTTTTCTGTCTCGGTCACTAGCCCGAAGTAAAAAGATGGACGCACCCTCTTAAAAAGTCCAGACATTGAACATAGTGTACTGGAAACAAACGTTCGGGATATAATTATCCCAAAACCTTGTCTCACCGTTGATACCTTCCCACAGGTTTTTGTCTTCAAACTCTTTGAAATATCTACCCAACGGAGTGTTTCACAACCTGGAAAATCTATTTGAGCTGTAAGTTAAACGCCTTGTACACACCACAAAAGCAATAGCTTAATGGACTCTTTTCTTTGTAATCTAAAAGCAAAGTCGAGTGCAATCTTTCTTTGACACAAGATGCAAAATTAACCAGAATTTTAACAACTCTTGACGAAAAATGTAATAACGTCTTCAGGGAGAAATGTATCAACGCAAAACCTAACACTGATGCGTTATAGGAGATAGCCAGTATGTGTCTCAGCGCAAACAGATGTCATCATGGACGATCAATTTGGAGGATAGATTCGTAATTTGTTATGAGTGTCCAAATACAGAAACAACAACAAAACCGTAAAAGAAAACAATAACAAAAAAGAAGAAAGAGAGAGAGAGAGAAAGAGAGAGAAGAAAAGTGCACTGTACATCATTGGAATTGAATCTAGCAATATCACTATTGAAAGAAGGATCAGAGGAATCGTTCAATTTGTGAAGGAGTGATTTTAGGATCATAGATAGTAATTTTCTCAGTCTTCTAATAAGATTAGGTATTATTATGATAAGCCATTATCACTTTCATGAGGACAAAAAAGAAGACATTGTCTATTCATGTACCAGTTCCACTTATAGTGCTACAAACCATGTAGAAGTAGTTGGGGTGTAGAGGAGGGGAGAGAAGGAAAAGGACAGACTTTCTCAAACTCATTAATAAATCATCAAGTTTGAACAAAGGAAATCATGACCGTGACCGTGTTTGGATAACTGATCTTAATTAGCATAGATTTTTACGATTTTATTTCTCTGTTTTCTCCTTAGTTTTGGTTTCGATTGAGAAGATATATCAAACAATCAAGACAGTGTTTAACCACATTTCCAAACACCTCGAAGTTCTTCAAAAATAGTCCGCTGCGCGTCATATTTTCAATTTTTTTCTCGGTGTTTGGAAATGTGGTCAAGCACAGTCTTTCGTGTATGATATATTACTTCTGTCTTCCGTGACATTTTGTAAAATGCGATTTTTTCGGTACATGTGTGTGCAGGCTTATCAAGGAAGGTGTAAGATTAAAGGCAGTACTTTAAATTGATATTCTTATTTTGGGTTATTGTTACATTTTACGTTAGCGGTTACGTTTTGCGTCGCACCGATGCTTTTTTTACTGGAGTGATATTTTTTATTGTTGTACATACGTTTTGATATCATTTATAGGGATTTGGCTTCAAACGCTATTGAATGTCTTACTGCGGATGTGTTTTCGACGCTTAAGGACCTCTTTAATCTGTGAGTACATTGAAACACATTGCACCCACCATGAAGTGAAATAGTGTAGTTATATGAACATACAGCTACTGCACCATATCGTAAGCAACGGATTAGAGCTAAGAGGAACGTTTCTTATGCAAAAATAGGAAAACCACGCCAAAGTTGCATCTTAGGAACGTGCTCATTTCAATATCAACGTTGTACTCAACAGGAGATTTTTCCTTTGTTTCAGTGGCATACCTATAAACTAGCTAAGCTTAGTGCTTGTATAGCTAAGTGCATGACCACTGTTTTTTTTAGGAATTTGTCTTCAAATGCTATTACATCTCTACCTGACGGAGTGTTTGACAATCTGGCAAATCTTCGGTTATTGTAAGCGAATTCTGAATTCATTAACATTTTTTTTAAAGTACATGTGTGAAACGTGTGTATAGTGTATGAGTTAGAAATAAAGCATGTTTTTATCTTGTTTCTTATTGGTGAAACCTCGTTGCAGGGATTTGTCTTTCAATGCTATTACATTTTTACCTGATAGAGCGTTTGCAAATCTAACAGCATTGTGGAAACTGTAAGTGTAACTGTAGTGTAACTGTAGTGAAATGTAAGACCACACGCCCATAAAATGGGGTGTTTGGAAAACCCGATTAGGGAATAGGGAATAGTCGCGAATAGCGAATAGCGAATAGTACGAATAGTGCGAACAGTCGCGAATATTGCGGACAGTGGCGAACAGTCGCGAATAGTGGCAAATAGGGGTGGGGAATAGTGACGAATGACAGAAATTTGATACTTAGTACCTCGCGGTCAACCACGAAGCAACGTGTGATGGGATTTTTCCGCTAAAAAGCATAGACGCTCATCAGCACAAAAGGTGTTTCTTAACGTAATTTCTTCTGTTTTCACCGCTGCAAAAGCGTAATTACGTCTTTGTTAGGTTATCCCAGGAACTGGACTCCTGGTTATCCTTGTGTTTTCTGTTTTCTTAATGTCGGCGATGGACAGCCCTAGCCTGAGTCCTGAGAAGAAAATTTAATAAATTCACTGAAATTCAGTTGCTTATTTGGATAGTTAATTAACCTAAGATATAGCTTAGATGTTGTTTTTATAACCGGTTATCAGAGCAGCTCTTTTGTGTCACATACGTATTTTACTGGNTTCACTGAAATTCAGTTGCTTATTTGGATAGTTAATTAACCTAAGATATTGCTTAGATGTTGTTTTTATAACCGGTTATCAGAGCAGCTCTTTTGTGTCACATACGTATTTTACTGGGGTTTTTTTTTCACAGAACGTGCTTGGTCGAATATAATCTACCAGCGTCCGCGCGGATAAAAGCTTTTACTGCACGTGATCAATTTCAACGGATCCAGATCATTGCTGAACTAAAGCGGTGGCTATTGACGACTATTCGTCCCTGTTCGCGACACTTCGCCACTATTCGCACTATTCGTACTATTCGCTATTTGCTATTCGCGACTATTCGCTGTTCCCTATTTAGGTTTTCCAGATACCCCATAAAATGAGTAGGGCACCAACTGAATGTTTATTAGAGAATTATCAAAGAACTAATGAAACAAGAAACGCAACCGGTGCGTTCATTTAAGTTTGATGTCTATTGGAGCTAATCTAAGAAATCTAAGACTATTTTTGCCTTAAACCTGTTACCAAAAATATTTATTTTCAATTTCTGGGGATAACATAATAATGCAGCTGATCATAGTATAATATCACATCACACTCGTTTTCTATGAGCGTAAGTTGAAGGTTTCCGCTGGGATTCTATAACTTCTGGTTTATTAAATATGTTGACATCCATGCGCTTTATACCACAGTTGTGCCGAGTCCGGTGACTATTGGATCGCTATGCCTACGAATTGTATTTAAGAGTTTTGTTGTTCTTAAAATATTTGACGAGGTTCCAAGCTATCCTGCACATGTAAATTTTGTGTCCAAGATTAATCACAGGCGGCCCAAGCTCATCATGCGAGGAGTGTGTGTTTTCTTTCTTTCTTTTTTTTTTTTTTTTCACGTCTTAGCGAACATTCAGCGAAACGTCACATATTCTATTACACAACAACTGAGTTTGCCTGGAATACGCGAAACATGACTCTCGCCATGCTTAGAATATGTCACGTTTCGCTGAACGTTCGATAAAAAGTAAACAACAACAACAACAAAAAAAAGCAGAAAAAAAAAAAAACACTCTTCGCATCATGAGCTTGGGTCGTCGCCTGTGGATTAATTAGATAACACATTAATTCTAAATTTCTGATTTACAGCTTTATTTCTAACAACGAAATTCAATACTTACCGAAAGACTTTTTCTGTTGTACAACACGGTTGTTGCATCTGTAAGTACTTACAGGGTCTTGTAGTTATAGTATTGGAATATGGTTCTTGGCAGCTAACAAAACGCTTTTAATTACAGCCGATGAAACGACCAAGCGCTCATAACTGGTAGCTAGGGGGGTGTATGTCAAGGTTCTCTGTTGTAATGTCCTGAAACTGTTTTCACCTATTTCCTAACTTCCTTGCTCTCTCATCGTAAGTGATTACTTTTCTGTGGATATTAAAAAAAACACGTATAAGCCTTCGTCAAATTGCCGATATTTTTTCTATTAACACTGAGCTCTTTTCAGTGGCTAAACAGAAAGGAGTGTTGTAAAAAGTCGCATAAGGCATGGACGTTAACAATATTACCATTTGATAGAAGAAATACCGTGGTTTTAAAGACGTCTAGTGAGTAACGAGAGTCCCAACATAATCTACACAATAAGTCATTACGTCTACCAAACGTCTAAAGACTAAAGCATTTCTAACAGTGGAATGGTTTTCCGTGCGGCAGTCATCTTTTATTATCTTCCAGATTTGCAAGCGGCAATCGATTGAAGAATATTCCATATCGAGCTTTCTTTAATCTGTATCCGCGGCAGAGTACCATTTTTGAAGATGAAGAGATTATGTGAGTTTCAAGAGTAAACTGACGTCATTGAAGTGTTTCAGAAAAGCCACTCGTTCGCTGCGTTTACCTGTTCGTTTTCTGAAGTAATTCAACTCGTAAACAAATGTGAAAAGCGTACGCGCATTTTCCACGGAGTAAACTCTTTTATTTTTGCTTTTTTTAAAGAATTTTATCGGATAATCCTATACAGACCATCGGCCCAGAGGCATTTAGACTCGGCACACTGAGTTTACAAGTGTAAGTTACCACTTCTACTCTAACATCGTTTATAAGCATACAAATCTTCAGTCGCACACACACATGCTTCGATGATTTTAAGTAAATATTTATTCACCCATGACAAGGTTATGGGAGGCGCGGTGGNGGAACAGATAATAACCGAACATATTTTCGCGCCAAATGGAGGCTATCGTTTATGTGAAAGACAATTAAAATGTGATTTATCAGGGTGATATAGATGGCGGAGTATTTACTTTTACCGAGGTTAAACGATCAATCAAACGCGGAGAGAGGCAGTACAAAAGAGGCAACAAAGGCAATCTCGTCTTACTCAATTCCAAGTGATTTTGTGACAAAAATGGTGTCAGTATAGCACATTAAAACCGTTCTAACCAAACAGTTTCACGTGTGTTAATATAGCGTGAGTTGCACTTGTTTTCTTCAGTAACTTGTTTTTGTTGTATTTTTCTTAAGAAATAATTTTCTTTTTACTTGTCAGATATTTGCTACGGACGAAGTTGAAGATCTTTAGTCTTGATTTCTTCATTGGTGTCCACGGTTTGGATTCCAAACTGTGAAGTATCGTTTCAAATAAATAGGGATTCGTATCACTAATAAAGGCTAAAAATATATTGAAAACAAACAAGAAACCACTTTATTTCAGTGCTTTAAGTAAAGGCCTTCTTAAGTACCACTTTTCTCAACTGCATCATTCCTGCATTTCTCTCTTGTCTGCGCATTCCTGACTCGGCACTCAGCTACGTTTTCTTTACCTTCGCTGAATTTTGATTTTTTTTATTCCCAGCAAGGCTTTTATTGGGTCTTAATAATTTCGTGTGACGTGGTAAGGACGTCATGAATTTACGATCAACGAGTCGCCAGTTTGGATGATGTATGCTTATATTCGCGTCCGTAAGGGCAGATTCCGTCTCCCGTCTGAACATAGTTTTATAACGAAATTATTCGCGGTCGCGTTTTGCCGCATAAATTTATGCAATCGATGCTAAAGCTAGTGTTGAAATCAGTCTTCTTTCTTTTCAGAATGATAACGAACAGAACGATTAGAACACTGAAATATTCATCTGAGGACAAGACGCGCTGTAAAATATATCTGTCAGTACATTTATTTTTTTAAAAAATTAAAAAATCACAAAAACAATGCAGTAAACACCGTGGCCAAATCAGTATTCTATTTTTGTTCAAAAGTCATTAAGGATTTCGGTGTGGCCGGTTAATGTGTATGTATATCATAACTAAAACTATTTCAGCATTTTTTTGTATACATTCTATTATTTCAGTTTTGTTTTAACAACATTTTCATTGCTAATCGAATGGTCAAACAGAAGATTTGTGAGAATTCCTGAGGACACATTTCAAAGATTTCTGCAATTCGTTCAAGTATTTTCGAGCATTTTTAACTGTGTTCCAGGCAACTGTCTGTCCAGAACGTGAATTTGCTTTTCTTGACGCTTGCAAGAAGATATTCTCTCACCCCCTAGAAAAAGAGAATTTGAGATCACCTGCCTGTGCGTGTACTGATTTCCAGCTTTCAAAATCGGTGCCACCGCTTTCTACACAAATATGAGTCATTTTTATCCACAAAGTTAACTTTTGCGATATAATGAAGGACTCAACAGAAGCTCTCATACACGAACAAGAATCATTTCACTCCATTCATTTTGTATCTAACTTTAACGGATGCATGTAACTGCTCTTTTCCAGGAATCCTGACAATTCCCTTACAGAAGCTATCAGAGTCAGAAACCCGCACTACAGTCCACACCTTATATCCGCTCTCTTGGTGACCGGATTCAGACGTATACCCGACAAAAGCTCAGCTGATTACGTATTTCTCCCATGTCCGTTGGGCACATTTTCAAACTCTACCTCTCGAGGAGAATGGGGATGTAGAAAATGTCCCCCAGGTATGGCACGTCGCGTAGTTTATACGGTTTCTAAACTTGCCTCGAAGTGAGGAGAATTCAAACGTAAACCAAGAAATGAGTTTTAATGATCTTTGTAACTATATCAGTTCATCCCAACAATTACAGTAAACGTCCCTGCAACTATTGCCATCGTTAACTTTCCTCTTTGTAGTCCAATACAGACCCATTTTTCTATGTGTTTCAGGCGGTTTTTACTCAGACGATGTCGGTTACGTGGCTAGCAGCTGTAAGAAGTGTCCGAATGGTTCCTATGTTCCATTTGATAAAGCGCCGGGTACCCAAGCTCAGGATTGCAAGACTTGTCCCCTAGGTAAACAATGAGCATGCTCATTTTATTTTTATGAAACTCATTTCAATTCAATCCTTCTTTGGGTAATAACGGGATAACCCATGTTACGTATGGTAACCGTCATTTAACAGATTGTCACTGAATCCCACTAAAGAAAGCTTGAAAAACTCGTTACTTGCAGATGAAGCCTTATGCGCCACTTGGCGTGAAGTAGATGAGAGAGGCGTCTGTTATCACTCTCAGATAAACTGAACGTGAACATGTTTAAAAGGATTTTCATTGAATAACTAGCTTTATGCTCCTTATTATTATGAAATATAAGCAAGGAATCTGTCCTAGCTTCCAGTCAGTTGATCGTAATTGGCTACTTTCAACCAGCACCCGTCCATTTTTACAATGCGTACAGTAACCATTTTTGTCTTTTTAAAGCTAGACTATTGGCATTTGGGCGTTCGTTACCGATACTAAGCGGCAGGGTCACTTGCCAAAAAATGCCAGACTGCGACACGTCATATCTGTTCCCAACAAACCGAGCGACACCGACGCAATCATGAAATGTAAATGTCTCTCAGGATCAATGGGGTATAAACTCTTTCCCCTTCTTTTTCAACAGGAACTGAATCAGACTTCTTTGCTGGATTACGAGCTTGCAAATGCCTGAAAGGATTTTATCGAACCCATATGTTCGAGAAATGTCATAAATGTGGACAAGGTGGGCTAGAATGCAGAGATGATTATGCAACTTTAAAATCTGGTTATTGGTGGAAATGGAGGAATGATTCTCAGAAAAATCGCTACCGCGTTTTTATAGCAAATCTCTTGGCATCGGCACCAGCGTTAGGTCATGGTGATGTCCAATACCCTTATCCGATACCAACTCCTTTCAAGTGCCTTGTAGAAGAGTCTTGCAAGGGTGGTTTAGATTCCCTGTGTAATACTGGTTACGAAGGTCCATTCTGTGGAGTTTGCAGTCCTGGTTACTATAAGCAGTTACAAACATGCAGGCCATGTCCGTCTAAAAAGTGGATGGTTATACAGCTGTCGATCATCGCGGCGGTTTTATTGATGATCATGGTAATCCTGGTGTGGATAAACAAGAGAAAGAGTAACCGGGACGAAGAACACTCTTTGGTCGACATGATTCTAGCAAAGCTTAAGATCGTGATAGGTTTTTATCAAGTGACGTATGGCTTACTGGAAACGTTCTCGCACATACAATGGCCAACCTCCCTGCGGGTGATTGGAAAGTATTCAGGACTACTCCAGGTTGATATTCTTCAGATAGCACCTGTTCACTGCTTCCTTCCGGGGTTTCACGTGGATGCGTTTGGAAACTTGATTGTGATGATGACAATAAATGCGATTGTCATCGGCATTTATGGCGTGGCATACGGAGTTCGTAAAGTGATACTCTTAAGAAATCGAAGCCTGCTTGAAGAGGAAAGGTCGAAAAAGGTATCTGAGGCAAAAGAACTTGTGTTCAGAAATTTGTTTTTCTTCCTTTACGTGACATGCCTGAGCACGTGTTCAAAGACAGCCAATGTATTGCCACTTGCCTGTCGGGAACTTTGCCGAGATGAAAAGGAAAAGTTGTGTAACAAGTTCCTAACCGCAGATTACAGCATACAGTGCCAAGGGACAAAGTACAATCATTTGCTTATCGTGGCGTATATTTCTATTGCCTATATTTTTGCTCTATCTGTCACCACATTCATCACCCTTTGGAGGAAACGAAGACTGACATTAGATGCAGCAGACACCGGCGCATCTGAGGAACCAGGACCTTGTGTGGAAGTGATCACAGGATTGCGTTTTCTCTTTGAGAATTATAAAACCCAATCGTGGTATTGGGAGCTGGTTGAAATGTCACGTAAAGTAATCCTCACATCTGGTCTGATCCTTGTGGGACAAGAAAGCAGGTCCTACATTGGCTTGGCTTTGACCATTGCTGGGATGTATGGGATGCTCTTTTCCTATGTCCGTCCCATGCAAGACGCGTTTGAAAACAGACTGATGTCAACATCCCTCGCCGTTACTGTTGTCAACTTGGCCATTGGAGCCGTGAGTAAAATTCCTGCAGAAAACATACCAGACTCGACCGTGTCATTCATGAACACAGTCTTCTTTGACATATTGGTGGTTGGAGCAAACACTTTGGTGATCGGTGTACTTGTTGGTAGGAAAATACTAATAACATGCAATTGCGTGGGCAAGCTTTGTACTTTTATTGATCCTTTAAAATTTTTATGGGTTGATTATCTTCTCCAATTATTCTGCTTTATAAAATACTCAAGAAAGCTCGCGGTACCATGATCAGTTCGAGTTCATTATGGTGTCATATAGCAATTCATGTACTCTACTTTCTTCTCGAGCTATGTCGAATTAATAAGTAATTAAGCACTTGTGAGTGCCAAAGCATCTATCAGGCATTCAGTTGTTGACGTTTTCACTGAAGGTCTTCTCGATTTACTGACATGTATAAATAATGCCGTACAAATAAATGAATGCCCATGCATTGCTGATAATCTAATGTATGCTACTCGATGGACACCTTGTCTTGATCAGGTCACGAAGGTGTGACGCTGCTTTTGCTGTTTGTCATCTTGGTTATGTGTTCTACAGCTTTTTTATGGTTCTTTGTTTTAAATGAAAACTATTTGTTTCTGGTTCCTTTTTAGTTCAGTACGCAATGTTTCTTTATGGCTACTTCAAGGAATGGCGCAAAAATCCACATTGGTCATGTTCTTGCTGCTTGGCTTTTGTTCTTCCTCTCAACGATTTGCGGGGAGAAATTGGTGGTCTAGTTGAAACCAACGTCCTTAAAAACCCCTTAAACACTGGGAACGTGGAAATACCCACCTTGTTCGCGACAGTGAAAGACACGGGGGTAATTGATGTCAGTTTTGATGAAGGCGAACAACATGATGTCAATATGAGGGACTCGCTGGCAGATAGTTGCGAGGCTACCACCTGCATAAACAGGAAGTGTAATCGAGGTACACACACAGAGATACAGTCGCGTTTCTCCATCTTTGATGCTGTGGAATATGACGCAGTGGAAACGACACACTTTTGAATCCCTGTGAGTACAACTTATGTATTTGTTCACCTTGCATGCGGGCGGTGCACCTGAAATTTGTATTGGCCAATCAGAATTCAGCAGGCGGGAGAAACTCTGCTGTCCTGAGGTCAATGTATGTTGACAGGAAAGGTATTGAAGTCTCTGAGCTTTTAATTTGGCGCCAAAAATGGGTTGCCCACGTTCGGCAATTCGCTCTTCGAACGCTGTCCCAGATAGGATAATAGTTGTGTCATTTGAACAAAATATGCTATTCCTCGTCAAATTAAACCAAGAATTCTCGAGTTAAGCATTAGAAGAGGCCAAAGCAACTTAAGAATTGTCTTTATTTTTTGTTAGCTGCGAAGAAAAAGACTAAATTATAGTGTCGTTTCGGAATAACAGCTAAGTTTTGACTGCCCCTCGTACTGCGGGCGCAGCCACCCTATGCAAGGCAACATGCCACGTAGCTTAATCTCACCCAAGTATCTGGGGCATTTGCGATTTACAGTTATAAAATCACATTTTTTTTTTCCACTATGACAATTTTATGGACTGTTCAACAGTTTACACCACGTAGTAAAATCTCTGGAAACGTGTCAGTTGTTAAAGGGTGCCGAAGAAACGCGGCTTCTAAAAAAAGAATTTATGACAAGAACAGAATAACACTTAGAATAATAAAGCCACAGATTTCAATCCAATCCTATCCAAATTTATTATGAAAAAGAAACCATGAGAGATTATCCCTATCGAGGACGTTTCCTACTTAATATATAAGCTAACCGTAGCGATAATAAAAGTGTGACAAAAAACAATGAAAACTACAATTAAAAGCTGAAGACTTAAACTTATGAACTTCGAAAACTTCAAATCACAAAGGCATCAACATAACCAGTGTAAATCTTAACAAAGCTGTCATATAGAATGTGACTCGGGCCTATTCGTCTGTTACCGTAATGGGAACTGATATTTTAAGAACCTAGGATAATAATAGAATACGCGGCCGTCTCAAATTTTCCTATAAAAGACGACTGAAGACATCTTAAAATAGTTTCTTTTGACAAATGAAATGTTTGAAATGTGGCATACAACTGCACCTCACCCTGCAATCAACCGCTAAAGGGATTGTTTAAATGAAGAAAAATAAATGATGGGTGGAAGTGATAGCACATGCCACTTGCCACTGTTTACCGAGCGACTGTTTTGAAAACGTTGTGCCTAGACTTTTTCAAAGCCCGTTTCCGTTGAGACTCGCTTGCTTTCGCATTTTCGCAGTCGACTTGTGGCAAGTCTACGTTGTGCCTGGTAACCCATCCAAAAAATTGGTCCTACAGATTTCACGCATGCTTCACTTGTCGCGACGTGGCTCTTGAAGGCGAATCAATAATAGCTCACCTCCCTCTTCCCCCTAAGGCCATGTTTCTTTTGAAGCAAATACCCTCCAACTTGCCCCTCCACTCCCAGCTTTGAGATTCATCGTATAAAAGGATCGGTGCTATAAGGAAATGTATCAAGAGTTATCTCACCCAGGGAGACAGTATGGAGGGTGATACAGTGCTACCAGGAAAACGTCTCCTCCATCTAAAAAAGCCTACAGTGTAATAGAGTAATTGATACGGTATTGTAGACAGTTCCCTAACTCACATAATTGTGCCCTTGAATTAACTAGCTTAATGGCAGAGCTTCCTGTGTATTTATCTCAATGTAGCCTTTTTATAGCAAAGATTATCTTCTTTTCTGTAACAGTTCCCAGTTGGCGACTTCAGACGACATGGGCTTAAACCAGAAGTGTTGTATCAGAAAAAGAAGAATGTATTAACACAGAAAATGAACTAAGTCACACATACTACTTCCAAAACATACTGTATTTATCTGTAGTGCTTGCTTTAAAGTGTTTAGCTTTGTGAAAAACTTTTTGGTTTACCAAAACGAGAGCAGAAAAAACAACCAACAGAATTATATATCCAATGAGTGTTTTTCATTTATACGTGCTGTTAATGAAATATACAGACTATTTAATCTTTTAAAAACATGGTAACCTTCGCCACGTTTTACCATTAGACTAATCATGCTACGTAATTTTGAAAATATAAATTTTAGTGACTGGGTAAAGGTGTAAACTTGATTACCCATCAAAAAACATTTTAGTTACTACTTAATTATGCTGCGGTGGAATAAATTAAAAACATATAGTTTAGAAAAAGTAAAGAGTTCACCGCAATAACTATCGTGATCTTAAACAACATTTTGAAATTAAACATAAGAAAGGTATGTCTAAATAATAAAGAATAATCTGTGGGGTAAAATAGTGGCTTAGCCTGCAGATATTTCTTGATCAGTAGGGAGCTTGAACAGTCACATGCCACCGGGTCACAGGGCACAATGCCCGGCCGATAGGAAAAATAGATTTTACCCAGGGATTTCGGGATCTGTTCGTTAGGGACGGTGTAATTCTCCTACTTCTATTTGGAGTTCAACGCTTCCCTTACATCCTCAGCTGCAACTAGGTTTAAAACTAGTAGAGCTACTGAACAGCCATATGTAATTTTGGGATTCTTTGGTAAATGTAAATTCATTTTTTACTTGGTGTTGCACGTGGCATCGCCGTTGCCATTGCTGTTGCCAGGTCTACCATCGAATGAAAGGGGGAGGGGGTTAGTTATGTATCAATGTCTAAGTTTAAAACGAACAAAAATTGTCTTGCTGATCATCAGCCAGCCACGCCTGCTTTATATTGCTAAACCATGCCGGTCTCTCCGTATTCTGCTGTGATGTCTTCGTTTCGCTTGGGCCTCTCCCTTTCAAGTTTTTCTGTGTAGATCTTCTACGTTTCGAGAGTCTGTAAGTTTTAACGCGATTTGCAAGCGTAGAGAACGATGCTATCTTAAAGTCTATTCCGATTATTGACGAGAAAATCGGAATCGTCACGAGGTAGCTACGAATGACTCTCGCCCATACTCGGCTCTTCGCTGCGTATATTATGGGCTTGACTACACAATGGCACCACATGATCCATTTGACGGCTGTTTCGAAATCGTGTGGAAAAGAACCGACGCCCAGTCCGTCTAAAAGTAGGATAAAACACGCGGGAAACACTTGAAATAAACTTGTACCTATCACGACTTTGGACGTTGAGGCAGATTTCGCGTAAACGTTGATCGCCAGCTTCTGAGCGTTCGACAAGGACACAGGAGACACTCTGTGCCTATTTAGATGAATAACCTTGTTAATGTGGTAGTAGTTGTAAAATATCAGGACCAATGGTAAAACCGCAAAGACACCAATAGTGACAGTAACAGAAAATAATTCCAAACCGTTCAAAGGTTTCTGTAGGTACCGTTGTGCGCACACGTAAAAACCTTGGAAGAACAGGACTTCCACTCGATTGGTCAGCAACGGTAGCCATGGAAATGATCCTACAAAACTCACACACCAAGCTATTCCAGCTAATTTCATGGCATCCTTAATATCGATAGCACGTCTTGACGGTCTCACGATCACTAAATATCTATCAAATGCGATTATTACTAGCTGCAAGACAGTAATCTGCGTGAAGAACAGGTTAAAGAATCCGTTTGCAGTGCAGAATTTATCTCCAAAAATCCACCCGTCGCAACCGACGGAAATCAGAGCGAATGGAATCACAAGAACACTCGTCCCAAGATCGACAATACTTTGACTCATAATGAGAATGTTCGTTGCTGTTTGCATGCGTATGTCCGCGTAGACCGCATGGATCACAATGGAATTGCCGGCTATTGACGCGAGCATCACCAAGGCCAGTGGAATTATTTTTAAGACTTTGGAAGCTGTCGACGAAGCCATCGCAACATCAGTCGCCAAGGAGAGCATTTCTTCTTTTGAATCATTGCCTATCGTGGCGTTTAAAGAAGTCATTGTCCCAGAAAAATGAATCACGTCTCTGCACTTGTGTCTTCGTGGTTGCTTGGAGGCTCACAATGTGTGTTCAGCCCTTCAACTCTGCCACCTATAAAGGAGACAAATTCATTCGTTTCACAGCTTTTTTTAATTTAAGCCGCTTTCCGGAATAATAGCCAAAGTTATTTTGGCGACTAATCCGTCTTAAATTAATATTCGCCTGAAAGGAATTAGTCACCAGGAAGAATTCATTCTTTAAGGTATTACATACCGAACACGATTTAGGCGCGTTAATGCTGTCTCAAAGGTGCATTGGAAAAAAAAATACCGGAATTATCTGACTCAGACGAATAATGCATTAAAAGTGTATGGTACTTATGGCACTTTTCTTTGTTACCCCTGAAACAAAAGTCCGCAATCTGCCATTTCCTTTTTTCATTATTGTTTTGTAAACTTACGGAGACAGAGCCTTCTCAGTTGCCGCCCCCAAACTATGGAATGATCTGCCTCTTGAAATTAAGTTAAGTCCATCGGTCGCCGTCTTTAAATCGCGTTTAAAAACTCATCTTTTTAGAATTGCGTTTAGATAATTATTTCTATCTTAAAGTTTATACTTAATTTAGTTTAAATTATTATATTTAGTTTTACTTTCATGACTGTAAAGCGATATAGAGCTTTGTATATACTCGCTATATAAAAAAATATTGTATTGTATTGTATTGTATTTTATTGTAAAGGTGGCAATGAAATCTCATGGAAAAACAAAACCAAAGAAAACATAACAAAGCAAAATGTAAATGATGTAGTTTGAAAAATAACAATTAAATCCAGTGTTCTCGTCATTTTAGAATGTATTAGGACTTTAAACTTGTAATTTTAGCAATATCAAACCTTTTTGTTGTATGACACGAGCTCATCAGCTGTGCTGCTTATTAACCTATCGTTCAAAAATAAGTGCTTTTATTATATCTCAGTTACCATGCTTACCTGTGATTGGTCAATTTAGCAGGCCGTATTATACTGAATTTGCAGCTGCTGTCTCGTGATTTGCGCCGAGTTTCGTAACGTTCGTGGCAAATGTAAATTTCAAAACCTCCTGTTTTTCTAAAATTTTGACAGGTATTGAAACTAGCAACGATTTCGAATTGACTCGCTTTGCTTTTCACGTATGTCAGTCATTTGAACCTCGGTTAGTAAGAGGTATTTATTATTGATTTAACTGATTAATTTGGAACGATTTTCAAATGAGTGTCGTAAAACCAAAACCAAACCAATTACTTACCAACTGGACTACTCAGCCAATCTCAAACCGTAGTAAAACCAAAACCAAAACCAAAGTAATTGCCTGATTACTTTCAACACTCAACTTAAAACCGCTCTGTTTATTAATTTATCTATTTGATTAAAGAAACAAACCAAACTACAAAGAAGTGGAGTCCATCATGTACAAGATCAAATCTGTAGAATATTCTTATCTGATCAATATAGAACTGAAGGTCCTGAATCACCAAAATACTTTTTCAAGTTCTTCTGACTCAATTATAGCTTTTCCTGTCATAGATATCTTACTCACAGATCTGAGGCCAAAACCCACAGATTATGGCTAAAAAAAACTTAATTCGAGTAATACAATAATTGCGGTTATTACCTTGACCTAAGAGCTGCAAAAAGTGTGCTTCTTTGTTTTATTTTTCGCTAACAGCAAGTGTCCCGCTCTTTGTAGTCTACAGATGTTACGCTTTTTCGCAAACATGAGTAGTTTTGCGTTTGCTGTAAAAGTAATTTCGTCTGTTGTCTTAATTGTTACTTTGAAGAGAGGAGTAAAGCGCTGTCGTCTTTTGCCCCAGAAGGTGTGTTCAGAGACTAGAAGCTTGTTTGTTTGTTTTTTTGTTTGTTTTCTACAGACAGCAAAAAATCCTACCATTTGCGTTCAATCACTTGCTTTTCTCTTCGTAAAAAGTGAGTAATTTACTGAGTGTGGGATCGTAACGTGAAATTTTATTTTGATCTTTAATTTTTTCTGATTAACAAGGAAAAGTAGTCAGTCGTGACGTTTGCCATTTAAGTTGGATGTGATGGATGCATAATTATTTTTAATCTCTTTACACTGGATGCCAGTCGAGCAACCTATTTATGTTTTCTAACATAATAGACTTTTTAATCTTGGGTCAGTTTTAATGCAAGCAGTGCTCGTTTTTCGTGACCGTGCCCTGGAAAACAAAACCAGAATGCATGCCAAACATATGGCACACTCAAAGCACTACTGTGGTGTTGTTTCTTTGAAGGGTAGTCGCCAATAAATATCACGTCTTGCTGTTTATATTACCCATGGTGGAATTATGAAAGTTAAATTAGCAATATTTTTCATTATTATATGGCTAGCTCCGTGAGCGGGCAAGATGAATCAAATCCTGCACTGTGTTTGGCTACGCGAGCGGGCAAGATGGAGCTATCTTGCCTGCTCGGGACTACCCGCCGTGTCCCGCAAGAAAAATTTTCCCGAAAACCATATAATAAATCCTTTATTGACCAAGCTTGTTCGGTCAAGATTGCTGGATATTGGCCTTCGGCCAATATCCAGCCATCTTGACCTCACACTTGGTCAATAACCCATACGTTTTGTATCTAAGCTGAAATTTCTACGCGATTTTTGGATTAAAATTTCAACGAAACCTGCACATGACAATTATCTGAGAAATTTCGTACATAATCGACCGAACACGAATCTTACAAAACTGAATGCGGAAGGTTCAGTAAAATAAATTTCTTGCTATGTCATGATAAGGGTGATCCTCAAAGTAAATGGTGTTGTGCATTGCCTTCTTTTATATCGGTCAACCCAGACCCTTGTTATTCTAATCCTGGCGTTGCTTAGCTTTCGTTCGAATTTAAACACGTCTGGTTGTAATAGGTAACTACACGACGTACGTGTTGTCTGAATTTGAAAGCTTGGCTTTCGAAAAAGTTTCCGCCACTGTAGCTACTGCAAGGGAGATCAAGCGTCCCGACCAGACAAGTGTCACGAAGAACATGGCTGGTTATCGTCTATGATGGTTCGGGAGATCGACCAATAGCATTTCGATTATTATTATTATTTTTTTTGTATATATTTAGGATTGTAAGCTAGCGAGATTGCGCTTTTCATAAATGCATCGAAAACTGGAAACAAACCTCAAACTGAAGAGGTATCTTTGGGTTTATATTTCACCAGACAGGACGATCATTATGTCTTGTAATTCACTGATATTGTGCCAGGTTTTGCTATTGACCCAATCATCGTAGACAAGCATGTAAACCTTCTTGTATGCGTGTAGCGCGCCTACGCTTATGAGACTATCCAGAGTGATAAACATTTTAGTTTATTTAATTAATTTACCTGTATTGAAATTTAAATTTTGTGCATTATACCGCTTCTTTTCACCGGAACCTTTTTCTGCGTCATCAAATGTTTGTACGTTATTAACAAAAAAAGCAAAACAGACGGGAAAAAATGGAAAAAACACTGCTGATAATGGCACATCCTCTTTCGTTTCGTGTAAAGCAAAAGAGACGTTTGCTTTGCTGATATATGCTTTGGAAGAGGATTTCAACTCAGTCGAGACATTACAACCTTCGTTTATCAGTTTTGTAAGATTTTGACGGTTCAACTGTATATAAAAGGCTGATTACTTAAAAGCATTGAAGATCTATAAAAACTGTAAAAAGTTGTATAAATCTGACTATATTTCAACGTTGGTTTAATCATGATTATTGTGAAGATAAATTTGGTTCTGTGTTGTGTTTTTGAAAAATCTTTTCATTTGCTTGTTATCCCAGACGACGTAAAAAAATATCGCATTAAAACTTTATAATGTACAGAAATAACTTAGTGTACGACAGAGAATAAATAGTTTGCATGTAAGTAAGCTTGAGTACAATTGTTTATTGGTGTTGTGCGCGTAATTTACAGGCCGGGGCAGTTAAAATGCTCTAGAAATATAATATTAGTTCTCTTAAGTCATTTTGATTTTCAGTTGGGAACAGAGAAAATTTTAAAGAAAATATCGAGGTTATGCAATAGTCAAGTTCTGAGGGTCATTGGCAAAGATGTCACTAAACAAACACTCGAGAAACCTTTTTTCGCCTAGTGACAGTATTGCAGGTTTTTTTCAAGTGTTTCTAAACATTTTGCACAGCGTGCTACGGCAACAAAATTTTGCGACAAAATTTGCAACAAAATGTTGCGACAGCGCGCCAACGATCGATTTTAATTACTTTTCAACGCAAGAATGTGAAGTTAAAATTCTTCTCGTCAAAGAATCGTCAATTGGTGTTCAACTAAAAAAATCAAGGAGTTTGGCATCTTACCTCGACGGCGTCCTTCACCAGCCAACCTTGCTGACGACTGATTGCGGAACTCTGGCGGCAAGATGTCTTATTTAATAATTTATTCTGTTTTTTTTTTTCTTCTCGTCCTTATTTTTGAGTTGACGTCAAAAGGAAGTTGCATGGAAGAAGAACAAAAGCAAATCATCATCAAGGCAGCTGCGATCACCTTAGCTAGATATAAACGAAATTACCTAAAGAAAAAAAAAACATGTTCTGATGTCGTTTTGATATATGTATGTCAGATTTCGTTTAATACTTTTCTCCTCGTGATCAGGACGTGAAATCCTCGGGAAAACTACTTAAAGTAGGCAAATTTGCTCTGCGGTGTCGCGTTCCTACTACAAGATCTCTGAATGGCATTTTTTTTTCATTAAACAATTTCAAAATATACGTTATATCCGGTCCCCACTTTTATTGCTTTTCGTTTTCGTAAATACAAGACAGATTTTACGAACTTTTGACGTTCTATGGAGAGTGTTTCAACTGCCTTCACAGACTAGAGATTTCACGACATATTAGAGCTGTATTTTGCTAGATCTAATTTAAACGCGTATAAAATGGTAAATACAACAATTTTTATCTCGCTTTCTATCCTGCGATTAGGATTTGACAGCAAAAAACATTATGTACAACTGGTTTGCAAACTTCTTCGAGGTGTTCTACTTCAAAGGTAAACAAACATAAGGTTTACTCCTATTTTAAAGTGAACAACATTTTGAGTAAATTGCATTCAAAAATAGTCATTTTGTATGATGAATAATATAAATCTAAATAATACACACTCAAAAATATTGTCTTCCTTCTCTGGAATCATGAGTAAAATATAAAATAGTTTTCTGTACTCAGAGCGCAATATGGATGATACAGTTACCAAGGTGCTAGCCAGCATGGGAGTATTTAGGTAACAAGGTGAAGGAAAGTATATTTACGACCGATTGAAAGTTGCCGATTCTATTTCGGGCTAATGGGTGACAACAAAGGTTTTATTGTATTTCGCAACTGCGTCTGCGTGAGAGACGACTTATAACTCGGTTGCTAAGCATAGTGAAAAGCTGTAAATGCACACAGTCTGATCCAAGGCGATAAGTGAATGTAAACGTTGATGGTCATTGCCCAAAGGACAAAGTTCTGATAAACATAGTGCTCAATGAGTGGCTCACTTGCTTGTAATTTTTTTTCTTTGTCTAATTTGGAGAAAGCAATTTTCTTTTTCAACTATATGAGTCTCGCTGAAATACTTGTCTGATAATCTGAGATGTTTGCCTTGCGAATAACAGAAT